GTAACCCAATTATCTGGTTCCACCCAACTCAACCTGGGGTAAAGTACTTAGCATAGTAAAATATTTTAGAAATGGAAGGGAGCTTACAGATCATTGAGTCCAATTCTATTTTAACAGATGAGTAAACAGACCTCATGAGGTTAAATGACTTGCTAACAGTTATTTAGTCATGTGGTAGCTCTAGTGAGAGCTGAGGGCTCCTGATTTTTAATCTAGTAGTCTTTCCATTGTCATGCTACTGCCTATATTTGATAACATGTATTATTCTTGACTGTACAGAATTGATTATAATTTAAATATAAATCTGTCCATGGCTCCTGCCCAAATCAGGATAATTATTCCAACTGCAAAAGGGAAACTTTTCACGGGTTTTCATGTTTAGGCTAATTTATGCATGAACATGATGCAAATAATGCAAGTATTCAAGACTCTAGATATCATTATGACCTTTCCTTAAAAGATTTCATGTAGAATCCAAAACTTGGAAGAAATTTAGGGCTTATGGCCTTTTAGTACAGTTGTACTATACCGTATAGTTTTTCATTCAGCAACATTTACATGCCCAGGGCATCCAGAACAAACACTATAGTAGGCAATGTGGAAAAATACTCAGCCAGTTTTTCCTCGTACACATCAAGGAGCAGACTGTCCTAAGAACATGTAATACTATTGTGTAAGCTTTTTTATGGGGGAAAGAGAACACTGCTCTTCTCTGACACATCCAAGCAGTACTACTTGGCATCAGTGCTATACTCTATGCTACCTGAGAACATAATGTCTAAAGGGTACATGGTAGATGGTGAAAAAAAGAACCCAAAGAGCTGCAACCATAGAGTTGTGAAGATTGTGCCAAGAAGTAACTACACTTACAGGAGGCTTCATTTATGACTCTATAAAGTAAATGTGGGTTACCCTATCTTAGCAGCTTCCAAGGCAAAAACTCAAGGTGATCATACTGCAAGGAGACAGAAGTGATTTAGTACTATCATATTCCTCTCATAATAAAACATGGGATGGAATTTTAACAGATTTTGTTTTACACTAAATATGAAATGCAGGACTCCTACGGGGCACGAGGGAACTCCAAGCACATTCCCTTTATTGGGTCAGTAGCTTCACGTCTGTATACTATAAGCATACATTAAAGACTGACAGATATCATGAATAAGCAGTTAAAGAAGTACATATTCAGTTTGCGGGTTTTTAGAGTCTGGCATGTTTATCTGTTTGGGGGAGGAGGGTCTGGATCCATGATTTCATTAATATAGAGAATTTCTGGTGAGGAAACTTCCTTTACCAATTCAATTCAGCAAATGTTTTGCAACTTATAGTCTTACAGCCCAGACATAGTGGAAGCAGGACTTGAACTTAGGTCTTCCTAAGTCCAAGGTTAATTCTTTCTTCACCAACACCAGACTGCCTGACTTTCATCTACACACATAATACAATGCTAAGAGCATTTTGTTTTTCCTTTCTTAAAGGAGAATTTAACACCATTATTCTACTGATGTCTTAGAAAAGAAGTTTCAAAGGTATCCTAAATATATTACATGAGAATATGCCCTCCACTGCTACTCTCATAGTTTAAAAAAAATAGAAAAATATTCCATTTTCAAAAAGTAAATGCAGAAATGTCCATATTTTCGGAGATGTATTATTATAAAAAAATGTAAAACCATTTGATAAATAACAAATAGTGTTAAAATGTTGTAACATTTTAGGCAAAAGTAATTGTGCATTTATAATTCACATAATTATTTTCAAGTAAAGTTCCTTCTCCCATAACTTGTAGATCAATCAACTGTTCATACGCAGATCTGATTATTACAATTCATCCTGCTTAGTATTACATGAAATTTGCACATTATTTTCTACTGAACTTTCCCATTCATCTCAAATTTTTGATTTTGATTGTTTGACCAACATAATATTTTTTGATTTTCACTCTTCAGGACTGTTGACAGGTACCTGTACAAAGAATCAGAAGACAAAATACTTATTATTGTAATGCCTAAAATGTGAAAATACTCCTAATTTCTAACAGGCTGAAAAGCCATCAAATTAGAAAGAATGATTTTGCATTTAATGTACAGTTTCTTAGTATTAGATAAAATAATGAAAATATCACCTACAGCTTTAATATCCATGTTCCGAGATCCTAAATTTACACTGTGTCTTTTCAGATCAGATTTGATTAGTGCTGAAACAGAAAAGAATACATTACTATAATATTTTGTAAATGAACAATCATATATATGAAGTATACTTTTCTACAATCAGCTGAGAATACTTCAGCTGTAATGTATTATCAGAAAACATTATTACCTTATTACTGATGCTGTTTTGGTAATCCAGATCATCAGAAATAGGTAATTAGCTACATGCAAATGTGTTTTAAGTAAGTCATTTAAAAATCACTTACATTTGTAAATTTAAGGTAACCTTTTACAATAATATTTTCTATATCATTTAAGTATGGCAGCATGTTTTAAAATTGAGATGAGGACTACCATTGTTCACTTCCAGTTTTTAATTTTCCTTGTGATTATTCCCTTTAAAAAAAATCAGCATTAGTGGATGTTTTATATGCTATGAGACAGTTAAAAAACTGATAGCCTGGAACATTCCCATAAACCTTTCAGAAAGCCAAAGTCATCCTCTTCTAACAGACCAAATAATAGGCTGGTGTTCCCAAATAGTTAACGTACACCTAAGTTATCACATTTTAAACTGATAGAATCATATCCTACATTTTTATCACTATGATTTTTTTTAAAGAATAAAAAAAGCTAGGCATTCTACAAACACAAAACTAAATGTACTTGGTTTTGATTCATGCTCTTTTGGTATGGAAGAAAGAAATTCTTCTTTTCTTATCCCAGATTCTGTCTGAATCATTTTTATGCCCAAGATCAAGAAAATACTTGCTCTCTGGAGCCAACAAGTCTCTATACCTTGTCAATTATATAACATCCTTCTGTAACTTGAGGAGAGGTAGAAAGATGATAAAGTAGGACTATACAGAAGTCAAAGTATGACTGAAATTACTATCCACAAACTGGGGCAAAACAAGAGAATCTGCTCCATTCATGAAGAGATTGTTTCTGTAGAAAGGGGGCAAAATTCTCCTTCCTGGACATTTCACAAAAGCTGTATCAAAGGGCAGCTAGGTGGTGCAGTTGATAAAGCACCAGCCCTGGAGTTAGGAGGACCTGAGTTCAAATGTGACCTCAGACACATGATACTCATTTGCTGAGTGACCCTGCTCAAGTCAATTAACCCTGATTGCCTTGCAAAAAAATACAAAACCCAAAAAACTATACCCACAAACAAGGGTGAAACTGCCCACAATTTGTTAAGTTTTGCTATTTAGCTTACTATATTCTCATTTTCTATGTAAAAATTTCAAATTAGAAAAGCCTGCACAATGAAAAATACATTTATCCCTTTTAAAGGATTCCTATTTCTAATTCCTATTTTTTCTATTCTACTAACTCATTTGAGAAGTACTATAGAATATATGTCAATATTAATAAGATAAATAACTACAGGTCTAGTAGCTGAGGGCCAGCCTAGCTAAGGATAGATGGCTGACCACTAGGGGAGTGAATTTATTTATTTATTTATTTGGCAACAGCAACTCACAAGCACCATATAATAAAATGTAGAGGAGTTGAGATGTGTAAGTGGAGAGAAATACTCACACCAGTGAAATCACAGATCTTTTGAAGCAAAGAAGGTTTTTATATGTTATTTCCCTCTTTTTCCCTCCAATTTGGAGCAAGAGAGAACATATGCTGATTGGACTGTGAATGCTGGGAAGAAGGGAGAAGAAAAACCAAGAGAGAGAAAAGACAAAAGCATTCTCATTTTTCCTAGTTATGTCACTAGTTTGGGAATGAACAAGTCTCAGTAAGGGTAGAATCATGGAACTTTAGAATTGTAGGCTGCAATAGCTACAACAGGAATGGTAGATAGAACCTATGGGATACAGTAGCAACTCAATGGTGGAGAAGGCTGATAGGGATGCAGAACCAATATTTGACCCCAGGACCAGTGATCAGAGTACACGTAGGCTCCTGGGATATCTTTTTTGTGAGGCAGTCGGGGTTAAGAGATGTCCCTGGAGTCACACAGCTAGTGAGTATTATATGTCTGAGGCCAGATTGGAACTCAGGTCCTCCTGGCTCCAGGGCCAGTGCTCTATCCACTGCACCACCTAGCTGCCCCGGGATATCTTTTTAAATACTGTTTGTTCCTTTCTACAAAACTTGACTTTGGAGTTCCATTTATGTCTGTTTTTATTTTGTAGTTAATATGCTTATGATCAAAATGCTTATTGGTTCCCAGCAAATGAGCTGATTCAAATACTCTAGAAATAAGCTAAATTCAAATCTAACAAGGAAGAGAGAAAAAGAGAGACTCTGGATAGGGAGGACCTATGAGCTCTATACTGGAGAATTCTCCAAGACTCAACCTGGTCTGTCTGCCAAGAGTAGAGCACTTGACATTTCGGTGACATGAAGAATTAAATACTAATACTTTTATGGAACAAACATCATTAACTTACCTGTTAAAATGATGCCTAAAAATATCCATGCACAAAGGAAAAGATTTCCACCAAGAGGGCCATATTTTGAAATAAGCTTTCCTTGAACCAATGTAAAAAAAATTCCAAATAACTGAAATAAGACAAGATAAGATAAGGAATTTTTATGGGAATGCCAAGAAATATAAACTCTTAGAGGGTAGCAACTGTATCACTTTCATATTTGCATCTCAAGAACCTAGCACTTTGTAATTAAAGACACACGATAAAGGCTTATTGATTGGATATATTAAACTTGATTTTAGAAAGGACTTTTCCTAACAATTTTTATTTTTCTAATTTGTGCTCTGGAAATCTAGTATTAGAAGGGACAACTCTGGACACAAAGCACAGTGTATTAGGGAAAAAACATTAGTGGACATCCCTACTATGCATTCTCTTTAATTTTTAGCAAAGAATCTCTGGCCAGAAAATGCTCAAATTCAAGAATAATCAGAAACTTACCTGTGCAGAAGCATTCAGAAGACCTGATGAAGTGCCTTCAGATTCTGGGTATGTGATTTCAACAGCAAATTCAAAACCCAAGGGGAGATAACCAGTCATGAAGAAGCTAGAAAAGCACATGCATGTTATGTAAACATTCATCACAAAGATTCTATCACATAACTGGTTCAGTTGTTCTGCTCCAACTAGACACCTTTGTCCCTCTACTAACATGCTGGATACAAAGCTGACTGAAGTAGAGAACCCTGTGCTGCAGGTCCTTTGACTGTAGTAAAACCCGCTCATGCCCAAGCTCACTTTTGTTCTGGGTATTCTAAACCACAGTGCTGCTTTCCCACTCTAGCTCGCTATTCTCCCTCCTGCAGAAGGCCACTGGCTTGATTCTCTTTTCTCTACACAAATATACTTCTTGAGGAAAACTAAACCATTCTGGAAGACATACATATATCTTTTTCACAAGAAAAGGAATTGTAGTTTTTATGATATGAACTTAATCCCTTCCCCCGCCAATATTGGCAATATGAAATGTCCTGGGATCAACATCTTTGGAGAATATGGTATTTTCCACATAGTAAGGTGTATAATTTGTAAAAATGGTGAATAGGGTGGGGCAGCTAGGTGGTGCAGTGGCTAGAGCTCTGGCTTGGAGTCAGGAGGACATGAGTTCAAATCCAGTCTCAGACACATGACGCTTACTAGCTGTGTGACCCTGGGCAAGTCACTTAACCCTAATTGCCTCACCAAAAAAGCAAAAAAAAAAAAAAGGTGAATAGTGGCAACAGTTTAAAATGCCTAATCTGCTACTGTATGAGTGCTAAATAAATGCTGTTGCTGATCAATTCACCTTGAATCCATTGGAGCTTAGTCAAGTTTATTCCTACATTATGAATTACTGGTCCTGTATCATATATAAGGAAACTTTGAGATTAACTTATCAGCCCAAGGTTAACTTTGTTTTAAGTTTTTTACATTTAATTTCTTAGGCCATACTATCTTTAATCAAATTTGTCTTTACACTTAAGTAAAACTGAATTGATTAAGCAGTTAAGTCTTTTCTATTCTCTACCTATGTAATATGTGCTTAGCAAAAAAACCCCAAAAAAACCCCACCTATTTTCCCATTCAGATACCAGTAGATTTTGCAAAGTTTAAATAAAGCACTGTTTGATGGAACAGAAGGTCTTCTTTTAAGTTACTTCAATAAATCTCTCAATACTGAGTAGTAGTTTACCTTTATCCCTTTCCTTTCTAATTCCAAAAGTCTATGACTCTAACCCAAGATTCTTACCCAAGTGCTCCTCCAGTAATAAACACAATGATAAGATGTCCAAGGTTCAAGGTAAAAGTAAATATAACCATTCCAATAAAAGACAATATGTAAACTATTAGAGTGGTCTGTCTAAAAAAAACACAAAACACAATTATTATTATTATTATTATTATTATTATTATTATCATTATCGTTGTTGTCGTTGTTGTTGCTGTTAGAGCCTGAATATCCCAATCACAAAATAAAGGATGGCTGGCTATTGCCACACCTGTGCAGTAACAATACTTTCTAGTGGTTAAGATTCAAAACTATTATATTGCCAACAGGGAGGAGGTCAGACTTGGTAAAAAAAAAAAAAACGGTTTTAGTCCCTCACAAAGTCAGAGTTCATACCTGCATAAGCCAGAGACTCTTGGAATGAAGAAAAACATGGCTGTTCCTACTTCTGAATGAGACAGCATCTTTCCTCATCCTTCAAGGATTGGCTCAAATCCTACATTCTCTTCAAAACTTTTGCTGACTACTTTTGTCCACAATATTTTCTCCCTCTCCTGAATTCCCACAACACCCACCATTGGTGACAATCACACTTAATCATTTATTTCCTGTAACAACGTTTGCTTTGTTATTACTTTTCATCTACATTTATCTTATCTCCCACACTAGATTATAAGGCCTACATTATATTTGTATAGATACTATTATGCGTGCACTTAGGTGTTCAATAAGTGTTTAAGGAATGAATGAGTGAATGACATCAAGGGTGGGAAGAGATCCAGGAGCTCAAACAATCTTAGAACTGAAAGAGATCTTAAAGGCCAATACATCCAAACAATTATCCAATGTACAAATAAACTCCAATAATTATTTCTATAATAAAAACATATTTTCCCATGGAATTCTGAAGGTTTTTCATGTCCATAAATATATGAGGTTTTAGAAATTTACTCTTAGCCTTAGAGAAAATTCCCTTGATCTTCAAAAATTATTAAATTATCTCTTTTTGGTCCTTGAGAGATTACAACTGTTGTCATTGTACAATTTTAGAAGATAAAATTTGAAATCCATATCTATTTCATCATTTTGAGCTTACCTCCTCTCCCTCCCCCCAATTAAATTCTTTGTTTTTGGTCTAGTTGAATCCTAGTGGGGATAATGTACATTGAAATATCAACAACAAAAAGACTCAGTATTAGAAGAAAAAAAACCCTTTTTTGGGGAAAAAAGATCATCCGCTCTTTATGACTCCAGGCGAATCTCACTGAATTTTTTGAAGCTCTCTTCTGAATGGGATGATCACAGTACCACTTGTAGTCAGAACTTTAAATTCAACAAATATTTTCTGAGCCCCTTTTATGAGGCTAATACTGAGACAAGATTCATCACTTTCTGAATGAGGTTGGGGGGGGTGCTAAAAACGACTGGGAAGCTCCTAAGTCAAAGGAAGAAGAGAAGAATCAATTCCTTGGATTTAGGAATCTACTGATACTCTGATCAGAGATATCAGTTGTAAAAGGTCAAAAGATGATCAAAAGTAAAGAGGCCAAAAGTTCAAAAGTAAAATCAGCAGTCAAATACAGAGAGTCAGCAGACATTGTTACTACCAGGATACCACAGTACAATTAATTTCTGAGGAAACAAGGAAGTTTTGAAGAGTAGGTACTTCCATTGTGCAACAACATCCCTTATGCGAGAAGACGAGTTTAAAAAGCAATATATAAATAACGGATTGGGGGGCAGCTAAGTGGCGCAGTAGAAAGAGCACCGGCCCTGAAGTCAGGAGGACCTGAGTTCAAATCCGGCCTCAGACCAAACCCTTGACACTTACTAGCTGTGTGACCCTGGGCAAGTCACCCCAATTGCCTAAAAAATAAATAAGTAAGTAAATAAATAAATAAATAGCAGATTGGAGCACATAGTCACTATGGAGCCAGGGAGCTCTCATTACTATGCTAAAAACCATATTTAGAAGCCTGCAACTTTCATTTAACACAACCCAGGAGGAAAAAAAAATCCTGTTGGTCTTATGTCACGTTCCTCCTAGGATCAAAACTCCCTTTCTAATAAAGTCAGTCTGGTTGGCACATTTACAACTACGGAGAGCCAAGTTACAACACATTTACCATTTTTACTTACTTGTATGTTTTGGTGTAATCCAGCCACAAGCCACAAAGAATGGAGCCCACCATTCCTGCTACAACTAGAGTAAGCCCAATCAGTCCAGCACTGACTTCTTCTCCCTTACAACAGTGTTCATATAGCATTAATTAGATATTCCCTTCAACACAAATTGGTTCTTACATTCCTGGACTTTCTTAGAAATTTCAAGTAATCAAATAAAACTAAAATGTAAAATAAAAAAGGTTTAGTCTCTGTAACAGTTATAAGTCTAGGTAGAATGAAGGAGATAAGAGAACTCTATTCAACAAAAAACCCCTTTTAATCTATGAAAAGAATCCAAAAAGATGTAAAGAAAAAGTTTATTTAATTCTCTGTAGCTGTAAGTACAGCAATTTTCAAGGGATTTACCATTGTCTAAAAATTATTTTATTCTACTGGAAGCAAAGATATGCTGGACCAAAGTTAGAGATATTTGCTTATTTTATCATTTTTTTCCTCCTAATAGTCTAATGTTTTCTTTGTCTCTATCTCCATCATCACTAATCAAAATCTGTATAAATATTAGTTAATTAAATTCTGTCAATGACAACTATTAAAGATGCTTTACATGTTCAGACATTTAAGAATTAGTCTCAATCTCTTTTTTCAATACAAATATAGAAAAAAAATTAATTATGCAAAAATTAATGAATTAAGGAGAGAATACTTAATCCTAAGATATTCCTTACAGGGTCTCACTATACTGCTAAATAAAAATCCTAGGCAAAATCTTACCTCATAATATGTCAAGATCATTTGGTTTAATAGTGTTGAGACTGAATAAAATGACCCAGTCATAATGCCTATAACAATAGAAAACATTAAATACATTAGTCCATAAAATATGGTAGTAGCAAAAATTTTTTAAACACAAACTGAAAATTCATTTTTAGAGGGCTAGTAAAGGGAAGCACTGTTTCCAACTCCTTTAAGAATTTGAGCTATGGAAATCGAGAGGATGCCCATCAACTGAGGAACGGCTGAACAAGTTGTGGTATATGATTGTAATAGAATATTATTATGCTACAAGAAATGACAAGCAGGATGATTTCAGAAAAACCTGGAAACACTTACATGAACTGATACAAAGTGAAGGGAGCAGAACCAGGAGAATACTGTATATAATAACAGCAATATTGTACAATGAACAACTGTGAATGACTTAGCTATTTTCAGCAATACAATGATTTAAGACAATCCCAAAGGACTCATGATGAAAAATCTATCTGCCTCCAGAGAAAGAACTGATGTTGTCTGATTACAGACTGAAGCACGCTCTTTTTCTTTCTTCCTTTCTTTTTCGAGTTTTCTTATACAAAATGACTAATAAGGAAATGTTTTTACAAGACTGCACATGTATAACCTATATCAGATTGCTTGCCATGTCAGGAAGGGGAAAAAGAGAGAGAGCGATAGAATTTGGAACTCAAAACTTTTTTAAAAAACTGTTAAAAATTGTTTTAACATGTAATGGGAAGGGGAAAAAATATTTTTTAAAAAAAGAATTTGAGCTAATAAAATCTACCAACCTTAATTTACTAGATGTAACTAAAGTAGAATTCTGTCAAAACACAACTCATTATTATTCTGGTTCAGTATATCATATTCAAATTAAGTCCTCGAAACATAATAAACCATATCTCTCAAACAAAAATCCAACTATTGAGTATCTACTATATAGCTCCAACAATATGAGCAATATGAAAGTCCTTGTTGGTGAGACATGAATAATACACAGGAAACAATTACTATAAAAGTCTGAATGTAATTAAATGCTGAGTGATAAATGCTGCTCAAGGAAACAGATCAAGTGGTTAGTTTGCCAACCAAAAAATCCTTGGAAGATATAATAAAAATAATCAAGTTCTAAGGGCATAGAAATGCAGAAGGCGCAGGAACCTGAGGAAAACAGGAATGGGGAGAGAAGGAAAGGCTAGAAAAAATGGCAAAAAAAAAGAATGAAATGAAATGAAATGAAATGAAAGAAATGAAGAGATTCAAAATAATGAGACCAGAAAAAAGTATGTTAATTATGATTGACTTTAGTTGTGTAATCAAAATAGAAGTCAGACTGCCATGGGTCAAAAGGAGTTGATTATTAAGAAAAGGAGAACCAGAGATGTAGCCTTTGTGCTCAAGTACTACTGTAATAAAAAAAAAAAGTCTAAGCAGCAGCTACATTGGGGGAGGGGTCCACAAAAGGTGAGGGAACCTCTCTGCTAGAGGCCTATTTTGCCTTAATTTAACAAACTGTAATGAGGTACTTCCTTACGTATATGCATAGTTCAGAGTACTCATGTCAGTTCTATGAGATTAATAAACTTGGCTCATTAATCACAGTTTAATGCAACCAAATAAAGATAACCATATTCTGGCATACTCTATAAATATATTACAACAAAGAAAATAAAATACTTTACTTACCATAACTAACTAGCAAAAGTACAAAGGGGATATTTTTAAATAAATTCATTATTGATTGTTTATAGGAATACTCTGAGGCATTGTGTTGGACAACTGCTTGAGATTCACTTGGTGGAAATGGAGGCTTTTCTTTGAATGCTAGAAAAAAGAAAAAAATCAATAGTTATTATATTAATGAGTGTAACTAAAGTCCTCTGATTCATTTCTGACTTAAAGATCTAAAGAAACCCTTTTAATAAAGCTTCTCATTTTTACCTAATTTTTTATGAGATAGAATAATTCTTTGCCTGAGTTTATGCATATTTGTTCCTCCAGGGATAAGAGAACTGGCCATTTTACCCAAGTGGGTTGAGAAAACACCAACATCATGTCATGGTTCTGCTGAATTGCTATGTTATTCAGTATACAGTAAATTAAGAATATTTCATTTTTTCAAGAAATTCTATTTCTAGACTAATTTTATTTCGTTAGAGTCAAGCTTCAGATTTAAACAAGCCTATACACCCACACTTTTGTTAAATGTAGTGAGCTAGTAAACTTGTAAAAACTTGATGTTCAAATTCATCTGATATAATTCTACCCCTGCAACTCAAAAGTCTTGTTCCAAGTCATGCCTAAGGGAAACACTGGATCTTGCTAACCTACTCTGTTATTAACAGAAAAGCCAGGGGCTGGGCTGAGGGTATTAAAAAATATGATACATCTGGTGTCAGGTACTTACGATACTAGTCTACAAGACCATGTTGATGGTATTGCAATAGACAATAAGATATTCTCAATCTAATGCTTGAGATTATCTTCTACCTTCCCAACCTTAACATGGGCAATGAAAGGTATGAACATTATTAGACTTCCTATCCAACTTTCTGTAAAAGGACAAGATTTCTTTAGCTAAGAAAGAGAATATATTTTAGGAGACAAGATGAGCAGGTAAAATTTGAGTGGGTAAAATTCAATATTGATAGAATAAAAATAAATTCAATAATGTGAAAAAGGGAAAAGAAAAGGAAAAAAAACAGATCTTTTTTTGAGGGGGGATTGTTAAGAAATAATAATTCTCTATCTAAAATGATTTATATACATAGCTGCTTGAGAGGCAGGAAAATGGGCTAGATAACATTTCAAAAGTTTTTTCTAACCCTAGAATTCTTCAGAATTCCTGTTTGAAACAAAGGATTATAATTATTAAGGCCCTTTGTTGCTCAAAAGATTGGTTCTCTAAAACCAAAGTTGTCTAATTAACCTAGATGCCTATCCCTGCCGGGTCTTATACAAAATTATGTAGTAAACAACTTAAAGATATTTAATCTTCATTGTCCTTACATTAGAGTAAGTAAAATGTTTAAACTGTTACTGTTCTTCTTTTTCCTTTCACTCTAACTGGTTCTTTCAGTGATGGAGAAGTCTGTTGTCATTCTTTGCAAGTGTCTCGTTAGATGGGAATGGGAAATGTCCCATCTTGTTGTCACTGGTAATATATAATTCACAACTATACGCTAGGCTTTTAGAATTAGAAAACTGTACACTTATGAAGCAATAATGAAACTTTGATATTAAGCTTTTTGAGTTAATTACAGCAAAATGAAGGTCTGGATGGTCCTTCTCTACCTTCTATCTCAAAAAGAACTTTTTACTCCAAATGTTAATCTCACCCAATTTATTGACTAGAGCACATGGATGCTAACCCATAAGCACTGGTAGCTGACTGCCCTCTTGGCCAAAGAAGGGAACTAACTCCCCTGGCCTCTACTGCCCATATTCTTTACTTTACCTAAGTATAAAACCAGAGAGAGAAAAGAAACCCTGGGCAATGGCATCCAGCACTACTACTAGGGGGAATGGAAAACATAGCTTAGACTGTAGCTTTGTAAAGTCCACTGGGCTGAAATAGGGATAGTTCTACAACTGACTACAATCCTCACCTTTTCTCTTTTCCTCCCTCAACCAACACCAGCTCCAGCTAAGGTGTGCTACCTAAGACTAAGGGGTAAAGGACAACAATTCTCCCACCTCTTGCATCATCAGTACACATAAGGAAACCAAAAACTCTTCATGCACTGCTAGACCCTTTTCTCCCAAGCTTGAACAGACCCAAGTTCTGCTTCTTTGGGCAAAGTTTGAAATATGTTATTGTTTTATTTATTTGCCTGTATGTGATTAAAACAACCATTAAATACTGTTTTCAAGATAAATATTCCTTAGTACTTATGGAATTATTTTTCAAAAGAACAGGACTTCTACCTTACCCTGAATACCTGAACTACCTTTGGACCCAACAAAATTTTATAGCTACTATTAAAAGTTTATTATCACTTTGTATGTATACCTTAACAAGGCTTAAAAGGGGAAAGCACATATCAATTATGAACATGTAAACTCCTTGAAGGCAGGAACTATTTCACTTTGTATCTCTGTCAATATGATACAATAGAAAAAAGCACTAGAGTGAGAGTTGAAGGACCTTGGTTCACGCATCCCATTTGTGTTGTTTGTTTACACATGTGACTTTGGGCAAATCATTTAATTTCTCTGGGCTTCAGTTTCCTCATCTGCAAAATGAAGAGGTTGGTTCTACTAGGCTGAAATAGGGATAGTTCTACTACGGACTACAGTCTCCTCCTTTTTTCTTTTCCTCCCTCAACCAACACCAGCTCCAGCTAAGGTGTGCTACTATGACTAAGGGGTAAATGACAAGGTAAAAATACAGGTCTCAGAGGATAACTCTATGACCGATGTAGTAGTTGCAGTACAAAACAGTGCCTGGAACACAGTAGGTATGTAAAAAAGTTTGTGGGTTATTTGAATATTAATGTGCTTAGATGCATTATTGTTTTTGATTAGGCATGCCTGCTTATATCTTTCGACTATTCTAAATATTAATATGTAATACCTAAAGAGATTTATACACTATAGACTTGTAACTGCCATGATCAAGTCTGGCAAATGCAGCTTACTATTTACTGTGCAGAATCAGCCCTAAGTGCATCTGCATCATCACTTATAAAACATGTTATCTATAGACTTTAAATTAGAGCAAGAAGGTGGCACAAGTTAAATTAATAATATGCTGACACGTCACAATACCACCACCTGTTTTACAGTGGAATGAGTTCAAACAACTACCCTAAATCCCTCAAGGTCCAGTCATGAAATCCTCCTTCTTTTCTTATCTCCCTTTCTAGCCCACAAGCTCCATGAGGGTTAAGGGTCATGTGCTACTTTATCTGCCGCACTGCCTGGTACACAGTGCTTTGAGCATTACCAATGCTCAAGAAACTTGTTAAATTTTTTTTAATGGTCAAAAGTGGATTGGTTCTGCATCTTTTCTAAAGGAATTTATTTGCTGGAAATGCCAGACAAATCTTATCCTCAATACCATTTCACTTACTTAAATAGAAACAGGGGCCACCAAACCACATATAAGGCATAGTGACTTACAAAACCACATATTAATATTGCCTATGTTTTATTCTATTTTTATTTCTTTCGTCAAATATTTCCCAATTACATTTTAATCTGATTCAGCCTGTACTCAGAAGTGTTGGAGGCTGCATGTTTGATACCTCTGCTCTAAACTATTAAGTCATCTGCAATTAGGTATTATTTTGCCTCATCTCTCCCTATACTTACTCCTTCAATTTCTTATTCTGTTCTCATTGCAGGACTAGCAGTTCTAGAACCATATCAAATAACAACAGTGACAACAGATCCTTTCTTTACTCCCAATCTTAATAGAAAGGCTTCTAGTATTTCTCCATTACAAATGATGATAGCTTTTGGTATCTACTGTTTATCAAAGTTGTTTTTATTCCTATAACTTTCAAAGTGGTTTTTTTAAAGGATAGATTAGTACTATATTTTACCAAATGTCTTTTTTTGTATTTCTATAACCATGTGATTATTAATGTCTTATTATTAATATTGTTTCTTATGTTTATGTAGCTTTCCTAATGATGAACCCTCTCCGTGTTCCTCTTCCTCTTCCTACGGCCCAACTCAGCCATAGTGAATACTCTTTTGAATATACTGCTGTAGGGCTTTCTTTTTCTTCCCTCTCCACCTCATTCCCATTTTAGATTTGGGAACATATTTGTGTCATTGATGGAATTTGGTAAGGTACTCTCTTTCTCTCTTTTAGCAAATTTATGTAATATAGGAGTTAATCATCATTTGAATATCTGATAGAATTAATTCACTTGTAAATCCATCTAGGCAGATGGATTTTTTAATTTCCTCTTGCGGACATATTTTTCTATCCACTATTCCACTGTAACTCTTAATGTATCACATGCCATGAGAAGCCTATTCTTTTGATAGGGTCCAATGGAGTACACAGCCCATTGGGGCAGCAGGTATTTTCTATGATTACAGTGTTCTGCCAATTCTTTTTTTCCACTCCTACTACAAAAATGAATCTTACACCTCAACAAAATTTTATAAACACGTAACGTTAAAATTACAAATTATGTAACACACACACTTTTACTTTCTCACATTACCCACAGAAAACAAGCATTTGGAAGTAGGAAGGACAAAAGATAAGCTTCCATATTAACAGAAATAAAAAGTACATAAAAATCATATTTTTTTAAAGGCACAGAAAAATATCCTGCTCTAATTGGAAGGCCATATGTAAGTAAGCAAGTTTAAAAATGGCTACCACAAAAGTAGATTTCTAAATTATATCTTTTCCAAATAAATATACAACTTTCTAAGGCAGCAAGAATAGGTCATAGATAATTATATATTCTATTTAATTCTTTTTTAATATGCTCACATGCCAGAAAGTTGCAATCTCAAATTGATATAAGGATTCAATACATAAAGTGTTGGGAAACCCAAGGTAAATTGATGATTCTGCATACTTAACATAACCACCATGACTATCTACAGTTTTTAATCAGTCTTATGGGAAATTAAGGGTGTGGATTGTACCTCTTGGACCCTCAGTTTTCATTTACAGAGACAGTCTATGATGAAGCATTCTGTATAATCTTCAGCCAAATATGTTTGTGAGTATTTTCCATAAAAGTAGTCTTTCATTAGTGTTATGTTCACAGTAAGAAAATTAGAACATGGACAGACATATAAAAATCAAATTCACATTAAAATGACAGGTATTTTACAATACAAAACCATTTTTATTGATACTTCTTTCTTCAATTAGCAAATATTTATTAAATTCCTCAGAATGGTATGGTAGGAAAAGTGCTGGATTGGGGGTCAAAACATCTGGGGTCAAATTATGGCCCTGCCATTTACTACCTGTGTGACCATGAGAAAGTCATTTAACTTTGTTTTCTCATCAGTAAAATGAGGAAATTGGATTACACAGCAGCACTATTCAGCTTCTGAGTTACTACAGGCTCAGTGCTGTGATTTTCTCTTTGAATTTAATTGCCAGAAGTTAATATCAATTTAACAAGTTTCACCAGTTCTTCCCCCTGAAGCCACAGAATTGTTTCCCCTTAAAAAAACAAAAACTTTAAAAGCCGACCTTCCCAGAGCTTCTTCCCAACTGACGGTGGCAGTTTGCAGCTGATTTTGACTGACTGCTTCAGGGCAGGACCAGACGAGATGGAGAACACTCAGGGATGAATGTCTGCAGCAGCCCGAGTGGCCTAACAAGTAGATATTTGCCACAGTTGGAAACTCTGACCAACAATCTGCTGCTGCTCAAGATTTGCCCAACATTTTCAGACTCAGTTAATGTTAAGGGGAGGAATGGGAGGGGAGGGCAGGGAGAGACAAGAGGTTCCCTGGAAAGGATTCCCATTAAAGGATGGGAGAGGTCCATATGTATAGCTTCAAAAAAAAAAAAGCACAAGTCTGACCCTGAGCAGGTTAGTATAAGATGAAAATATTAGAGGAAAGAAGAAGTGGCCAAGGGGCAATAATCTTTAAAACCAGCGGTTAGCAGGATGAACTGAAAAATTAGTAGAGATACACAAGACTAACTAGACTTACAATTCAGTGCATTATTAAAAAGATTGAACTCAGTAAAAGGCATTGCTGGGGTCATGGTCATGGCATTCCAAAAATAAGGCATGAACCAAAAGCAGGCAAGTGACATCTGAGATATTATGAATAAGAAACTTCAATAGGTGACCATTTTTTTACATTTGTCTACTATATTCACTCTACTTAAATTTTAGGAAAAACAAGTTTGCTTACCAATTATGGTTAGTATGAATAAAAATGTGGCAACTGACGCTGTTCCATAGAACATGACGTTGATATTGTGTGCCATGAGAGCAGTGTCGTTCTTTGTATTAGGCACCAAAACTGGCGGTAACAAAAAGCCAACTGCAACACCAAGCTATAAGATATACACCAAAATAAACAATTATAATTCATCAGTTTTCCCCAAACCCTCAAATGTATTGAAATTTAACAGAATATCAGTGTAAGAGGAGTTACCGACAACTCATATCCGCTTTCTTTATGTTTTCCTTAACAAAAGATAATTATCCTAAAACCAACTTAAAACAGGAAAAGATTCCTTTTTTAAAAACATACTTTAGCCAATTCCATGGAACAAATTCAGTAACTTTTACTTCAATTACTTCATTTTAGACACCCAAAAGCCAGTTTTATTTTCTACTTGGTAGTTGTCAGTTTGAATCATCAGTTTTTCACCGAATCTCAGAATTTTAGAGTTGAAAAGTATCCAGTCTAATCTATACATGAAAAATAATTCCCTCTAATACACAATGTACTCAAAAAGCATTCATCCATACTCTGACTGGAGACTTCCAAAGAAGAGGAACCCATTATTTCAGCCTGTTCCATTTTTCTGATAGCTCTCTTAAGAAATTTTTCCTCTTATGGAGCCAACATTTGCTTCCTCCACCCCTACCCTAAATTCTATCTTTTGCTCCAAAGTCAACCCTCTGGACCTAAGCAAAACAAATTTAATGCCTCTTCTGCATGACAGCCCTGCAAATATTTGAAGACAATGATCACAGTCTCCCTTTCCCTCAAAGTATTCTTTTCTCTAGTAACTTCAACCAATCCTCTTGTGGATAACTTAAGGTCCTTCAGTATCCTAGATGTCCTTGGCAAGACACTCTTCAGCTTATCCATGTTCTTCCTAAACTGTGAAGGCCAGAACTGAACACAATATTATTGGTCTCACCAGGGCAGAGTACATGAAGATGATTGCATCCACATTCCTGGATGTGTGGCAGTGGTAAGGTTGCCCTTGGATAGATAATTAAGCAAATAAAAATCAAATACAATGGTTTAACTTATGAGGTAGGTGAATTCTT